AGTTTCATATAATTGAAATGAAACGGTTGCACGGCCTTATTTAAAAATACACACAAAAAAAAAAAATAATTATTAAAAACAAAGTTCATTAATCAAACCATTTTCTTTGTTAAGTGCAACATTTCGTATTCGTTCTTGTGTTAGTTTTAATCTTGTTGCAAGTAAAATATTAAATGATGTTAATAAAATTTGTGCTGGAAATTGAATTAATTGTTCATATGTATCCTGTAATTGAAATGATATTGTTTGTCCAATATCATAACGTTCACCAGCAGAAAGATCTTAGAAGGTAAAACAAATTATTATTAGGATCAACAAAAAAAAAAAAAAAAAAAGAAATATTTAGTTTACTAAAAATTTTTGCTTGAATTAGTCCTCGTTGTCCATGACAATGAATACGAAATAATCCAAGATCATTCAAACGTAAACGATGAAAACATTCACCAGATATTTGAATGCTTCGTGGTCGTTCAACACGAATTGAAAATGGTGATCCTATTTTTAAAAAAAAAATATTTTTTTGTTTTCATTATTATGTTAATTTCAATACAAAAACATTATACCTTCAATTGGTTGATTAGCACATGAAACATGAATAGTATAAATACCAGGTTCTTGTGGAATAAAATGAATTCGAACAAGATTATCATTAATAATTGTTGTTGTTGATGGAATTTGACGATTACCAAGAAGAACAATTACTCTTATTTGTGCATTCGATGCTGATTCAGCATGGACTAATATGCATTACAATCATAAATTATTTTGTTTTTTATAAAAACAAAATTGTTTAATTACCTTGTATTACACACGGTGAATTTGTTAACAATGTTTGCTCAAGACCGGAAAGAACTACTTTTCCACTAGTATCTTTTACTTGAATTATATATGGAGAAGCTAAGATAAAAATATTGATAAATAAAGAAACAGATGTCTAATTATATTTCTGTTATGGATGACTGAATTCGAGGTATCTTTGTTTTAAATTAAAAGAAAGAGAAAAAAAAATCTCATCGTACCTAGAATGTACTACATATTTTTAATAGATAATTTTTAATGGAAAATCTTATTTCTTAACTTTCCAGATTCTATCTATTGAAGATTAGAAAAAATTTGTTTGAATGATTTTTGTTTTTTTTTTTCTTCTTACTTATTAAAGATAATCCATTATGAACCAAATTTATTTTATAAGAACCAGGTACATATGGTCGAAATTTTAAATGCCAAATATTTAAATCTTTTGTTCGTTCAATTTTATGTGGAACAGACAATCCATTATATAATATTTGACTTTGAATTGATGATATTGAAGGATTTTCAGTATTAACTATAGAATAAAGAAAAATATAATTGAATTAATTTATAATTGAAAAAGAAAATATTTATTACTTTGTAAACAAATATGATCACCAATTTCGGGAATATTATTAGGAATAATTTGTTGTATATGAGTAATTGATGATAATGTATTTGTTTTTGATGTTTGTGGTAATGAAAGATAAACATCAGTATCAAAAGTTTTTCCTTGTACAAGTTGATTATTAAATAGAATACGAAGTTGAAAACGACCAGGTTCAATTGGAATATATTGAATAAGATATTCATTAGATTTTATTTCTTGTACATGACATCGGCAAGGTATTTTTGAATTTTGAGGTTGAATTAGTTCAACTTTTAATTGACCTTGACCAGCTTGACTTGTATTAACTATAGAAAATAATGTTATTCGATTAATATTTGTTTTCCAATAACAAAAAAAAAACATCAACAAAAAATTTCTTTCTTTTTTTATTTCAAAACCATTGTTTTTCTTTTTCTTGTTAAAGCCTTATTCAATACAATATTTGATTAAAATTGTATCAATATAAATTTACCTTTATAAGCAACGGTCGTCCTCACAGCGACAGGTTGATTATGTTCGGTGTTAATCGAAATACGTTGTATGTCATAGACGTTCACATCGATTGGCGTACCTGTCAAACAGAGAGGCATTCATATTATATCATTGATATAATCAGATACATAGTACGTTTTAAACAGAAACTATATTCATTATGAAATATATCCTATGCTCCCATCTTTTTTTTTTTTGATAAAAAGAAAAAAAAACAACATCATTTTTGTTCTTGTCAATTTTTACATCCAATCAGAAAAACAAAACAAATCCTAACAAGAATTATACATGATATATTAAAATAAAAAAACACCCACACACACTTGCATACACAAATTAAAGAGGATTAGGAATATAAATGAGTGTGTCACAAAGTTGAGCTTGTGATGATGTTGGTTGTGATATTCGAGAATAATCAACAAAAATTGGTTGTGATGGTAATTGACGATGAATAAATGGTAATGGTGGTGGAGGGGGTGGTAGAGGAGGTGGAGGAGGAGGATGATGATGAATAATAGGAGATTGTTCTACTGAAGATACCATACTAAATCGTATTTGAATGTCATTTAAAAGTTGTCTATAGTCTCGATAGAAATCTGTTGGTTTGTCTTGATAAATATCATCAAAAACTTTATCAACTAATGTTCCAAGATTTTTTGTATTCATTTGTGTTACATGTCCATAATCATCTGAATATACAGATGGATCAGCGGATATAGTTGGACGAAAAATCGGCGATGAAGATTGAATTTGTTCTTTCATAGCTATTCTTTGTTTATAAAGAGCAGATGATGTTGTTGGTAATCGTGGTATTGACGTAGGTGCTTGTGTAACAATACTTGGTCTTGGTTGAATATTTCGACTACGTAAACTATAGAATTTAATTTGTTCTGTTGGATGTTGATTTTGTTGTTGTTGGTGTTGGTGTTGCTGGTGCTGTTGTCGGTGTTGTTCAAAAAATTGATTCTTTTGTGTACGTGTCAATGAACGTGTTGATTGTAAACGATCACATTCAATACTAGCCGGACGTGCAGGTCGACGATCCATATTATTATTTGACTGATGAAATGGTTCAGTTTGTGCACCTTGATCACGTACAATTAATGGTTCAGTACTTTGTGCACGTTGACGTGTTTGATAAATAGGACTATGAACAATACGAATATGTATTGGTTGTGATGATACTGGTGGAGATGGAAAATCTTGTTCATTATCTGATGATGATGATGAAGAGGATGATGATGAAGATGATGATGATGGTGGTAAATTAATAATAAGTGTACGTGATTCTTTTTCTACAGATGGTGTTAATGAACGATGTGGATTAATTTTAATTTGTGGTAAAGGTGAATTATGACGTTTAATATTTGTTGTTTCAAAACGTCGACGAATAGTTGGACGAATAATTTTTTTCTTATTTGTTAATGATTTTGCAATAGGTTTTTTATTTTGTTGAATTGATGTAGTTGTTTTTGTTGTATTTGATACTGTTTCAAGTTCAATTTCTCGTAATTTTTCATCAATTTGTTTAAGCATTGATAAATGCCAACCACGAAATGTTCGTAATTTTTCATCTTGTTCTTTCATATTATCATGATTAGTTAATTCTTTTTCATGATAATCAATATCACTTAGTATTGATGATGGTGTATCATCACCTCTACCATCATCAAGATCATCATCATCGTCATCATCTGATAGTTCAATAGGTGTATGTTCATGTTTAAAATTCGATGGAGTATTTCCATCAATATGAATTGATGATGTATGACGTATAGGTGATAGAGAATGATCAGAAACTGTTTCAGCTGATGAAAGTGACATTGAACAAGAAATTTCAAGAGGATTATCAACATCATAATGTAATTCATAATTTCCACCATTTGTACGATGTATTGAAAGATTTTCAAGTTCTTCTTCTTCTTCTTCCTCTTCTTCATCATTGCCATTGTTAATTTCATTTCGATTTTCTTCACATTGAACTTTAGATGATCGGTCATGATCATGATGAATTATAACTTGACCACGTATAGCACGAAACATTCCAGCCTCATTTGATGACGATGGTAATGGTGGTGAAAGTGTTTTTATTGTATTTTTAGGAAAAAAAAATTGATTAACAAATGTTGGTAATGTTGTATCATCATCACTATCTTCACTTGGAGCTATATTATTTTCTAATTTATTTGTTGGTGGTGACATTGGTGGACTTGGTGGATGATGAAGATTTCGATAAGTCGTACGAGATTTACTTAAATGTTCGTCAATTCCATTATTCATCGTTTCTTGTTTTTTTTTGTGTTATTGTGTCTTTGTTTGTTTTAATATATAGTTGTTGTTATCGTTTACCAATAATGATGGTACAATTATTCAAAGAGAACGAATGATAGCTATGAGAAGCAAGTTGTCGTTTTTAATTAGCCACTATACCATACAAAAAATGATGAAACTATGAGGACGCGTATGTATACCATATATTCATTCATACAGGTGTCTTCTTTCCTCGTCAGATTACTCGTAGCTTGGACGAACGAAAGAAGAATAAAAAGGAAAAAAGTGGTTTGTTGCGTTCGATTGATCGAACAAAAGTGAATGCATGAGTGAGCAACATACATTTGATGCATATACATATATACATACACAATCACACGAGAAAAAAAAAGGGCAAGGAAATTATGGATGTTCGCTTTTCGTTGCTTTTCTCTTCTTTCTCATTTTTATACGGTGGTCAAAATGAGATCAATCATTTTATTTATTACTTCCTCTCAATCATTTTGTTCATATATATTATACATATATATATAAAGTTCTTCACAACGAATACAAAAAGAAAAAGTTCAATTTATGAATTAGTCAAGCTTTGTAGGCATCTTATTTTATATATATATAATCAAATATTCTATAGACATATAATTTGTATAGATAGAAAATGTTTGCTTAACTAATCGATCAACATCGATTGAGAATTTGCTTTTTTTTTTCTTTATGAAAATGTTCAATTTAAACGTTTCAATTTTTTTTCTTTTCGATAGATAGTTATACTATAATATTTTGATGAGAGATTTGGACAAACAATCATACTGATTACTTACCATTAACTGGTATATTTCGATAGGCAACATAAATTCGATATGTTCCAACTTTTAATGGAGATAATGACATACGTATATGATTTGATGGAAGTGGTTGAATTTGTATTGGAATTAATATTGGTTCGAATTGATTTTCATCAATTTGAGAATAAGTCATAACAAATAGTTTTCCTGGTCCAGCTTGATCAACATTACCTAAAACAATTAGAATTTAATAGATTAAAAGAAAAAAAATGTTTCTTGTTTTTTTTTTCGAGTTTATATACAAATCAAATGACAATCATTTATTGCTTGTAAACGATTAAATGATTCGAAATGAACAACACTTGGATTATAAACAGGAAATATAAATGGACAACCTAAAAGAATAAAAAATAAGAAATTTTCTTAGCTATTTTTTTGAAATTCATTTTACCTGGAACAGGTTGTTCAATATAATCTTTTAATACAATTGAATAATCTCCTGCAAGAGTTGGTCGAAATTTAAGAAGAAATGTATCATCATTTCGACGAGCAGCTTGAATTGGAACTTCTATATTATTTATTGATACATGTACATATGCAATATGAGGAAGATCAACTATTTTATAAAGAAAATAAATTATTATTTCCATTTATTGTTTTTTTTTAAAATTATATACTTAAAAAATGTACATCAACATTTATAATTGGATAGGGTTGTTGTAAAAGAACTTTAAATGGATATCGTCGAGGATCTATTAAAAAAAATAGAAAGAATTTCGTTTAGATAGAATAAATATTTATCTTATAAGGATGACATAAACTTCATTTGACATGAATATCTAGAGCAGAGCTAAAATAAGATGAGTATGAATCATACAAATATCGCCCTTAAGTACGAATATGAATACAAACTCGTACTTGCTCAACACTGATCTGTAGTTTTAACTTCGTAAATAAAGTAGAGATCTTCAAATATAGAGCTGTCAATTACAGTAATGGATAAAAGTCTTCATCTCAGATGATCTCAATCACTGTATGCACTAGAAGTCTGAAAGTTTATGTATATGCACTTCGACAAGACTATAGATGATTTGCATTGCGGTATTGTTATTACTTAATTACAATGTGGTTTACGATAGATGCCGCCTATTCTTGTTATCAGCCTCATAAATCTGAAAAGAAAGAGTATTTTATGTTAGACGACTTCTCAATATGTAATGCTATGTCTCAGCTATCTACATTACTAATTTCATTAAAGTTCTTTAATCTTTTCAAAGACTATACTCATTCTACTGTGACCATTATTGTAACGAGAAATCATCTATTATCCTTTGGAGATCAATAATTCAGTGATAATTCAATGAAATGACTTCAAACTTTTTGAGAAGTTTCTTCTGCAGTGAGGCATGATTACTTACAGATTTTAGAAGCAAGTCTTGTACTAACGAGAAATGGATCATCGTATTAGTTCTAAGGATCGAGAAATGTCAATATTCGAGCAAATAAACTTATCTTTTAGATGAAGAAAAACCGTAGATGGAACTTTAGCTACATGTAAAAATATCGAGAATTAGTTATCTTTTTAGTAAAAAACAGCACGAAAGTTTTTTAAGGTAGTCTTTCTTTGGTATTAATGCTCAAAGAAAAACACAGGTCCTGTCCATAATAACTCTCTAGATCTCCAGCAAAAGCAATGACCAAGATCGACTGGGTCGGACACTTTTATTCAATGTTGTATGTGACTAACCATAGCATAAACAAAAATAAATAAAATAAAAATCTAAACTCTTCTTTTGATTTATCTTCATAGTTGGCTATATTTTCTTTCGCGAGGGAACATATCTAACTGGTGAATGCTATTCGACTTTATATTATGACGATGAGTTGGTCTCTGTGCGACTAGGAAAAATCTAAAGGAATTCATGTCTATGATCTAGTAATAAAGTGTTATAGCCGTTTTGCTGATGGTAAGGTATTTCGGAAAAGAACAAAACAAAGAATTTTGACCGAAAATTGTTTCTATACATAGATTTAATAGGGATTAGATCAAGGGAGGAAAAGTGCGACTTCAATTTAATAAAGACATGTTCGTTTTCGTTGAAAACTTCAAGACTATTGAATCTATCTATAAGCAAAATTTCAGGTCAAAACTCTTTATTTTAGAGTTTTCCCAAACATTTTGTCTGAATTAAATTGTTATAGCTCTTCATTAGCAAATCATAGACATGAATTCTTTGTATTTTTTCTTGGTGTCATCGAAATCTACTCGTAACCATAATATGTACTCGAACGACACCGGATAATCGGATATATTTCCTTATAAGTTTTTCGCTTGTTTTTTCGATACTTCTCTTTCTTTTTTTTATTAATGTTCTATGAGGATATAGAATAACTTACAAGCAAAATTATGATTGACTTTTTGTTCTATAGAAATTGTAGATCAAATCCTAACTTTTTTTTTTTTTATCGAAAAGGAAAAATCGTCTTTCAAATGTTATTTGCAAGTATTTTTTTATTTTATTTTTGGTATTATCTAATAATAAAAATATTTTCAAAATAATTTTTCATACCAAAGACAACATCAATTGGTTGTTGACGTTCAAATTTTTCTTTTATTGAATTAAATTGTTGAATTTGTGAACTACTCAATGGTTTAACTGCTGGTATTGATGAATGTCGATCTTCTGATTTTGTAATTCGTTCTCTATTTTG